GGAAGGAAGGAAGGAAGGAAGGAAGGAAGGAAGGAAGGAAGGAGGGAGGGAGGGAGGGAGGGAGGGAGGGAGGGAGGAAGGAAGGAAGGAAGGAAGGAAGGAAGGAAGGAAGGAAGGAAGGAAGGAAGCAATAGCACTTATATACTGCTTCACAGTGCTTTTAAAGCCCTCTCTAAGCGGTTTACAGAGTTGGCCTCTTGCCCCCAACAATTGGGGTCCTCATTTTACTGACCTCAGAAGGATGGAAATTGTGGTATGCCCATGGTCACATGATCAAAATTCAGATGCTCAGCAACTGACTCCTATCTATGACGGTCGCAGTGTCCCTGGGGTCACGTGGTCCCCTTTTGTGACCTTCTGACCAACAAAGTCAACGGGGGAAGCCCGATTCACTTAATGACAATGTGACTAGTAACTGCAGTGATTTCACTTCAACAAATGCAGCAAGACAAATCACCAAGATGGGGCAAAAGTCACTTAACAAATGTCTCCCGTAGCAACATAAATTCTGGGCTCAAATGTGGTTGTTAAGTCGAGGACTAGCTGTTACCCTTGCAGGGTTTGCAAAATATTGTCCAATATGTACTTTGTGGTCTGGTCTGGTGGCTTCCAAGTAACCAGCTATTATGTTAGCAAATTGCTTGAACTAGGTCATCAGATTAAACCCGCATACACCTTATCTTCTTGGGCCCTGGGAATGACTTGTTCTCTACCAACTCGGAATGTGGGACAGGGAATAATCCCATGTACTACAGACAGGCAGATTCCAATTAAATGTTTTTTTTATTTAAAAATCCTCCCTAATGGGGAGAATTCTAAGAACCAAGTATGTCTTTCCAAGCACAGACAACATCCCCGTTTCTCAATCGTGGAAATTTTAAGCTTCCTGGGGAATTCTGGGAGTTGAAGTCCACACATCTTTAAGTTTCCAAGGTTGAGAAACACTGGATTAGACAATAATTAAATGGGGTGTTTTTAAATTAAGAGTCTTGCATGGAATAGGGCTGCACTCTCAGCCTTCCATGGTTTTAATGTTCTGCACACCAGAACAACTGGACACAAGGACAGTTTTCCCCCAAATGCCATCCTTCTGCTAAACAACTAATTCCCACAACACTGTCAACTTATTTACTAAGACTGTATTACTATTATTCCTCTCATCCTTCCTAGCATCTATCTCTTCCCACTTATGACTATAACTGTGTTGCTTGTATCTTTAGAGTTTATATTGTTTTATTTGCTTCCTAGTATGATTTGATTGCTTAGAAGAATAGAATTCTTTTATTGGTCAAGTGTGATTGGACACACAATTTGTCTTGGTGCAAATGCTCTCTGTATACATAAAAGATACATTCGTTGAGAGTCAAGAATCATAAGGTACAACACTTAATAATAGTCATAGGGTACAATACAATATTAGTAACCTATGACTATCACTGTGTTGTATCTTATGATTCTTGATGAATATATTTTATTTTTTCTTATGTACACTGAGAGCATGTGCACCAAAGACAAATTAGAATTAGAATTAGAAGAACTTTATTGTCATTGTACAAGTACAATGAAACTGTGGATGCACCCCAGCAACTGTTCGCAATAAAATAAAACCAAAGCACTTAAAAATAAAGATAAGATAGAGTACCCACGTCTCCATTTGCAATTTGAGAGTACAATATCTACGAATATACACAAAATATACATCCAATTCCTTGTGTGTCCAATCACACTTGGCCATTAAAGAATTCCACTCTAATTCCATATCATTTCAGACAAATGGCTGTCCATTTCTTAGTCTCTTCTTAAAAACCTCCAGTGATGGAGCCCCCACATCTTCTGGTGTCAAGCAATTCCACTGGCTAATTGTTCTCACTCTTAGGAAGTTTTTCTTTAATTCCAGGTTGCCTCTCTCCTTGATTAGTTTCCATCCAGTGTTTCTTGTCCTGCCTTTCAGGTGTGTTGGAAAATAAACTGACCCCCTCTTCTTTATGGCAGCCCCTCAAATACTGGAATACTGCTATCATGTCACCCCTAGTCCTTCTTTTGGATCTCAATGGAAGGTGATACAATAAAGGGAAATTGAACAGCAGGTTAAATGTGGTTGACAGCCATTCAGCAAGCTAAGCGTAATTTTCAAGAACAAACTCCTCTGTGTCAGAAGAGAAAAAATTTCGATCAGTGTGTGCTACCTGCTCTAACATAAAATCTGGACACTAACATCACAATCGACACAAAAGCTACCAGTGGCACAAAGAACCATGGAAAGACGAGACAAGATAGGAAGACTTGCACGTGGATTAGAGAAGAAACGAAAGTATACGGTGCCATCGAGAGAGTAAAAGAATTGCAACGGAAACGGGCTGGTTTCACAGCCAGAAGAACCGATGGCAGGGGGACCAAGGCAGACGTAGAATGGATCCCACTGGATCAAAAGCATCCACGAACGAGAACTAAAGCAATCTGGATCGATGACATCGGCAAGTATGGAGGACTCAACTGGCAAAGAAAACCCAGGAGTGTATTGGTTGGAAATATGCGGAAGAGGCCTTCATCAGACCATGACTAGAATTATGATGATGATGATGATGATGATCCATAATTCCCAAAATCGTTCTTCAATGTAAGTTTTTCAAGAAGAATACACTGGTTTAGAATCTCCTGCTTTGAGATGGGGTGGGACTAGAAGACATCTTAAGGTCCCTTCCAGCACTGGTACAGATTGTCCTCAGCTTACAACAGTTAGCTTAGTGACCGTTCAAAAGCCACAACGGCCCTGGGAAAAAAACCTGTGATTTAGGACCGTTTTTCAACAACCTTCGCAGCATCCCCCACCGTCACGGGGGATCAACATTTGGAGGCTCAGCAGTGGACTTGTATTTGCGCCGGTCACCGTGTCCCAAGGTCACACAATCCCCTTCTGCAACCAAGCCAAGTCCGTGGGGGAAAGCCAGGTTCACTTAACAACCAGGTTACTAACTTAATGACGGCGGCGGTGCGCTTTTAACAAAGCCAGGCAAAAGGAAGGCCGTAAACACCGAGGGGGGACCAAACTCAAGACTTAACCAGAGGTCTCGCTTAGCAACAAAAAAAACCTTGGGCTCCACGGGGGTCGCAAGTGGAGAAGTCGCCTGTCTGGAGCCTCCTGCTTCAACAGGAAGTCGACTAGATGACCTCTGGGTTGTAAGTCGAGGACTCACCGGCGTGGAGCCTCCTGTTTCAACAGGGGGTCGGACTACTAGATGACCTCAGGGTCGTAAGTCGAGGAGTCATCTTCCTGGAGCCTCCTGCTTCAACAGGGGGTCGGACTAGATGATCTCCAAGGGACCCTTCCCACCCTGTTATTCTGCTGTTATAAAACTCCGCCTTTCCCACGCTGGTGACTTCGGATATCTTGGACCCCCCCCTCCTCCCCAGCATCCCCCCACCCCAACCTGGACGCATCCTGGGGGCGCCAGGTTGGGGAAAGAGGCTTGTGCCCCCCATCCAACCGGCTTGGGGCGAAGCGGGGGGGGGGCCTCCGCGCGGGGTTTGTGGGGGGGGGGCTCTGCGGGGGTCCCCGCCACCCCCCCCTCCCTTTGCAAGGGGGCTGCGGAACCTGCCTCCCCCCCCCCCCCCCCACGAACCCCGGCCGCCCCTCCCCCCCGGGTCTTCCCCGCAACGGGCGGCGGCGGGGGTGGTTGATCCCGGCACTCACCGGCAGCTTGGGGCTGACCTCGCCCTTGCAGCTGTGGCAAAAGAAGCGATGCTGGGAGACGGCGGCCGTTGCGGCAGCCGAAGAGGCCTCCGCCATCCTCTGCCCCGCCGAGCCTCCACCGGGCTTGGAAAGCGAAACAGCGCCGCTGGGCCGACGCCGGCCACAGAGCCACGCAAGGCCTAGAGCGTCAACCAAAGCGGCAAAGCCGGGTGGGACGCTCTAGCCGCATCGCTTCCGGGGCCCTCTTGTCGACTCCCGCGAGAGAGGAACCGAGGCCGACGATAGGCCTTTGCGGGAAAAGAGAAGGCGCTTCCGGCGGAGGCTCCGTTGTCATGGGGACCGAGGGAAGGGCTTGAGGCCTAGGTGGAGAAAACCTCCAAGAAGCGAAAAAAAGAAAGGCAGCAAATTGAGGGTCTCCGGCCAAGAAGAGGAAAAACCGAGGAGAAGGTGACTGACTCTAGGGAGTCCTCGGCTTACGGCAGTTCGTTTAGTGGCCGTTCGAAGCTACCACGGCACTGAGAAAAGGGGCTTTGGGACCGTTTTTTACCCTTACGGCCCTGGCCACGTGATCAAAATTCAGACGCTTGGCCACTGACTCACATTTATGACGGTTGCGGCGTCCTGGGGTCCTGTGATCCCCTTTTGCGACCTTCCGAACAGGAAAGTCAGTGGGGAAGCCAGATTCGCTTAAGGACCGTGTGAGTAATTTAACAACGGCATGGATTCACTTAACAATTGAGGCAAGACAGGTCGTAAAATGGGGCGAAATGCACTTAACAAATGTCTTGCTTAGCAACAGAAAATCCAGGCTCCATTGTGGCCATAAGTTGAGGACTAGCTATCAAGGGGAGGCCCTATAGGGCTGGCAGAGGGCTGGAGGCTGGGGCAGGCGTCCTACTCCGGTGGGGGGAGGGCTGTGGGTCTGGTGGGGGGCGTCCCTAGGTGGCATTTCTGGCGGAAAAGGAGGGAGGAGAAAACATTGTCTTGTTTTAAACAAGACAATTGTTTAACATTTTCATTTATTTTGTTAATTGATAAAAAATAAACTATTAACACTTCTATTTCTGAAAGCATTCAATTTGCAGCATTTTTGCACACCTGCCTAACATTTTTTCACAGTACCGTACAGGTAGTCCTTAACTTACAACGATTCATTTAGTGACCGTTGAAAGTTACAACGGCACTGAAAACAGGGACAGGACTATTTTTCATACTTAGGACCGTTGTAGCACCTCCGTGATCACACGATCAAAATTCAGGTGCTTGGCAACTTTAATATTTATGACCGTTGCAATATCCTGGGGTGATATGATCCCTTTTTGCAACCTTCTGACGAGCAAAGTCAATGGGGAAGCCAGATTCACTTAACAACCGGGTTACTAACTTTTCAGCTGCAAGGATTCATTTAACAACCGTGGCGAGAAAAGTTCGTAAAATGAGGCAAAACTCACTTAACAAATGACTTAGCAGTACAAATTTCAAAGCTCAATTGTGATCGTAACTTGAAGACTACCTGTACAGATAATGCTCAACTTATGGGTCTATACTGAACCACTAACTTTCTCCTCCGTCCCTAAAATCCAGCAAAAAGAAATTGGGAAGTTTTAGCCCAGGGTTCTGAATATTTATACCAAGTAGACTCTGTGTAAAGCCTTTTTCTTTTCAGATGCAGAGCTGGTGATTTATACCGAATGGTAGAGTCTTAATTTTCATATTGGACCCTGAAATCCTCACTGGAGTTGTTTGCTGATTTGAAGTGGCTCGTATATTTTATTGCCGTCAATTATACATAGCGTTATCATTGTTCAGCAAGATGACCCAGGCTGAAATCAAACTTTGTTCTCTCCTGCTCTGTGAACATTTTGGTGAAATTGTGGAAAAGGTTGGAATGCAGCTCATCCGTATGGGTGGACAGACGTTATGGATGATTTCCCAAAACACAGGCATATCACTTGACCAGGTAGATCGATTCTTTTTTTAAAGTATTTTTTTTTATTTTTGATACAAACAATCAACCTTCCATTAACCAGAATATCGCCTGGGTACAAATATCTTGTGCAATAACAATTAGAGTTTACAGCATTATTCATTACATTAACATTAATTCTCTACTCTTAATATCGATATACATAATATATCTAATTAATATAACAATCCTCATCTTAATGTATTTAATTCTATTATCATATTTTCTATATTTCACTAATCTTTTGTTTCTAATTTTCATATTTATTCTCTAGCCATCGATAAAATAATTCCCATATCACACAATATTCAGTTTGTTCCTTCTCTTTAATTGCTAGTGTTAACCTATTCATTTCTGCATATTCTAATATTTTCCTGATCACCCTCTCATCAGCAGGAATCTCTTCACTTTTCCAATTTTGTGCAAATACTATTCTAGCTAGTAGATTGATTATTATTGGTTAATCTTTTGTGAGATTCAGAGCCTTTGGGGCTGGTTGGTAGCTCAACAGCTCGAGTCCTAACCAGGGACCTAGGAACTGTTCAGGTAGTGTCAGAGGATATAAGCTGTTCCATGTAGGGTGTTATTTTGTAGACTCATGGTATTTATTATTATTATTATTATTATTATTATTATTATTATTTGCATAATAGCAAAAGTAACCTAAACTAAACTAAGATTAAGGATCCATGGTTCCCGCTGATGTTCTCACTCACACTCAGCAATCCTGAGTGAAATTAAGTCTTCAAAAGTTGGTTTAGAGCAGCGGTCTGACTTTGTGGAGCGGTGAGAGCGGGGGAAGGATGGTTCCATGTAAATGGCGAGTGAGCACATGTGTGTGCATGTAGCTCCATTTGCAGTGGCAAGCATGTGCGCTCACCAAGCATGCAAATGGAGCTGCACACACTCACTCACCCATCACTTCTGCGGCCTGGTTCCAAAGGGCCTGGTTCTGGGCCTCGGCCTGGGAGTAGAGGACCCCTGGTTCAGAGAGCCATGCAGTCGGCTAATGGATTTCAACAAGCCATTTTTCCCCTCAGCCATTCAATACAGGATTAGCTATGTTTTACTTCACAAGACTATTGTAAGGTTTTGGAAAGGAAGAGATTTGCAGTTTTGAGGGGAAGGACACCTTTGAAATCTTGTCCCAAATATGCTTTTTCAGGAGGCAACTGGACTTTATGGTTTTTCTTTGAAGACATTTCACTTCTCATCCAAGAAGCTTCTTCAGCTCTGACTGGATGATGGGGAACGGAAGGATTGATACTCCTTGCAGACAGCTGGTCATTTGCATCCTTTTGAGAGAGTCATTGAGGCCACTTGGAGGTTTATCTATGTCCTCAGGGCCACCTGAGTAGTGCAAATAGTTCCTGTAGTCTGCATTTTTTTTTTCTGGAAATGGGTTCATATTCCCACAGCATTCAAAGGGAGTTCATCCCAAAGTGCATGGCTAAGAGTCTATCGAGATTCTCAGTCATCCAAGTCATGGTTGTCCCAAAGTTGCTTTTTCAGGAGGCCATTGGAAAAGCCCCTTTGGCACAACCATGGCCTGGACAACTGAGAATCTCCATAGACTTTGAGATCTTGCTGTTGTTGGCACAGGCGTGACCTGCATTCTGGAGAGAAGTACATCTTATGTTTCCTTTCCTCTACCTTTATGCAGGTCCGGAAAGCTCTCTGTGTCCTCATCCAACACAACTTGGTGATATTCCAGCAGCAGAAGCGAGGCCAGGTAGAGTATGAAGCCCAGTGCAGCCGAATGCTGCGGATTCTTCGCTATCCCCGGTACATCTACACAGCTAAAACTCTCTATAGCGACACAGGGGAATTGATTGTGGAGGAATTGCTACTCAACGGCAAAATGACAATGAGCGCCGTAGTGAGGAAGGTGGCTGACCGGCTGACCGAGACAATGGAAGGCGAGTAGGATTTGGTGGGTTTCTCTATTGGGAAAATGCTGCTTGCGAAGGCCACCAAAGAAAGGTTTCTTGTGTCTTTGTCCACAGATGGGAAAACAATGGATTACAGCGAGGTCTCCACCACCTTTACATGCCTGGCAGATACGCATTTTGTTCAGAGATGCCCTTCGCTGTCCGAAGGTTCTGAGTCTACCGAAGCACGGCCTTCCCCCACACCTACGTTGGCCTTTAATGAGAAGGATATGTATGCTGTTCCAAAGCTGAACCTCATAGGTGAGGAGCGAAGGAGTTTAGATAGCATACGATGATGGAATTAAACCAGTGAGGTACAGCTGGCATTTGGAGCCTCTCAAAATATTTTAGAAGCAACAGGAGCAGGAAGAAACCAACTTGTTTGAGGAGAAGAATGAAATTAGAATGGAATGGAATAATAATACAGTAGAGTAGAGTAGAATAGAATAGAATAGAACAATATATAGAATAGAATAGAATCCCTATATATAATAGCGAAATACCACTCACGCATGATCACAAAATCTCCAGAACCGTAAAGCCTACAAACTTAAAATTTGGCATCTAAGTTCCTCTTGGCTTCTAGGTGCTCACTAAGAAAGGATTTTTCAAAATGGCCATCAGAGAATTAATATTTCCTATATTATTATTAACACGCTCTGATGCTAAGGAGTTCTACTCTTCCTCCCCACCTGAAAAGAAATCTCTTGCAAATGCAAAACACAAGCAGGGGAGAGGAGTTTCAGTTTCACAGCACCAAGCAGCTTTAGTACAGAACAGTTGAGCTAAGCCACGCCCAGGCTCCTTGCTGTCTCCATGCTCACACAGCAAATACTCTTTCAGTTTCCAAACAGCCCTCAATTTTCTCACACACTGACAGGATGCTAGCCAAATGAATATTGATAGATGTTAGTAGGCAGAGGCAGAATGTTTCCCCCTTATTTTCCTTCCCAAACACTAAGCCCAATCACATAGTTTTGTAGCGAAGCAAGAGTATCGAGCTAGTAGGAGAATATGTAGAATAGAATAGGAGATGAATAGAATAGGAATAGGAATAGAATAGAATAGATATTGGAAGGAATAGAATAGACTAGAATAGATATTGGAAGGAATAGAATGGAATAGAATAGAATAAAATAGAATAGATATTGGAAGGAATACAATAGAATAGAATAGATATTGGAAGGAATAGAATGGAATAGAATAGAATAGATATTGGAAGGAATAGAATGGAATAGAATAGAATAAAATAGAATAGATATTGGAAGGAATGGAATAGAATAGAATAGATATTGGAAGGAATAGAATGGAATAGAGTAGAGTAGAATAGAATAGAATAGAATAGATTAGATATTGGAAGGAATCGAATGGAATAGAATAGAGTAGAATAGAACAGAACAGAACAGAATAGAATAAAATAGAATAGATATTGGAAGGAATAGAATGGAATAGAGTAGAGTAGAATAGAATAGATTAGATATTGGAAGGAATAAAATGGAATAGAATAGAGTAGAATAGAATAGAATAGAATAGAATAGAATAGATATTGGAAGGAATAGAATGGAATAGAGTAGAATAGAATTAGAATAGAGTAGAATTAGAATAGGATAGGATAGAATGAAATAGGAATTATTTATTTATTTAGCATATGGCAAATACAAGGACTTATAGTAGTTCAAATGTTAATGTCCAGTCCACCCAGCCATTCAAGGACAGGGTGGTCTATGTTGAAAAAAATCAGACATTGGGACCAGTGTAAGCTCTTGATGGACATTCGGACACAATGGGATGGTTATTTTGTTGAGGAGCACCACAGTCATACTGAGGGGTAGAGACAAGACGCCACTTAAACAGGGAATCCTGGCAGACACCATGTTGGGTACAGATCCTGTTCAGGGTTGACCAGGGAAGGACAAACTCCTGGCATCTTTTGCGTGTAGGGTCACCTATGTAACTGGGCGTTCAGCAGCCCATTTGGCTTTCCACTGTGTGTTGATGTCGAAGTTGTTAAGTTGAAATAGAGATAGGGAAGAATAGAATAGAAATAGAATCTGGAAGGGGCCTTGGAGGTCTTCTAGTCTAGCCCCCTGCTCAAGCAAGGAGACCCTAGACCATTTCATACAAGTGACTGTCCAGTCCTTTCTTAAAAATCTCCAGTGATGGAGCACCCACAACTTCTGCTGGCAAGCTGTTCCACTGGTTTGTGTTCTGTCCCACTGAATTGTGTCTTTCCTGCCTTAGACAGTGAAATTTATCATCGTACGTTCTGTTAATCTTATTATATGTACTACGACTCCCTCACACAAAGAACCCTATAAATATCGTTATACGACTGGGCTGACATAATTGATCCAGTCCTCAGTTCCTGTTTTTTCTACGATAGAGATAGGACTTTTATCTTAGCCGTCAAGGGTTCCGCTTGAAGGAATTTCACCTGAGAGTAACAGATGCAGGCCAAGCCTACAGTATTCCTGGGGGAGGGAAGGAAGAGACACGTTTGCTGCTGCAAGAAATACATTTTCTCTTTCGGCCAACAGGAAAGGGAAAGCGGAAGCATTCAGACAACTCCAAGGAGGACGGTGAAAGAGGGGCAAAGCGATCCAAACAAGACACGGAAAGCGAAGAGGTAGCATGGCCGCTGCTTCCAGGACGACTTACGATGGGAGAAAAACTGGGCAGTAGAATGCAGATGTCAGAACAGATTCTAGCGGCAGATGGCAGAGGAAACCATCAGTTAAAGCAGGGGTCCCTGACCTTTGCAGCTTGGTGTCTGGGCTGGTGGGGAGAGGGAAATCGAGCTGCGCAAAAGGTGGGCCAGTGCGCGAGTGGCACGCAGGCTTACATGCAAATTGCATGTCAGGATTCCGGCAGTTACCCCAATTAAATCATGAATCTCGAGCCAAACTTCCAAAACTTCAAAAGGATTTATTGGGAGTTAACATATCCGGCACTGTCTGGGTGCACACCATTCATTGCCCCCCTCCCCCCCGATTCCCCCCCCCCCCCCCCACTGCCTGGGTGTATCCTAATTCATATTCTCCAATGGGACACCTCCGTAGCCAAGAGTCATCAATCATGCTCTCCAGTTAGAATTTTGCACGGCAAAAACTTCAGTCACCTAGTTACTATCTTTGAAAACATTTATGGAATGCAGTTCTGGTTTGCAAGTGGCTGCACTGCTCCCCCCACCACCCTTTCTGTTGGCAACAGACCATAGAAAAAAGACCATAGAAATATTTTATGAGTTGACAGTGCATGCAGCTTGACTGCAAGTTGAATGGTGTGTGTGTGTGTGTGTGTGTGTGTGTGTGTGTGTGCATCGGCCTGTCGCTTGCATGAGTGAAGCTGCGCACACACAGGTGCACCATTCCGCTTCATGCACTGGCCTGCTTCCCCACATGGCCTGCTTCCAAATAGGCCATGACTTGGTGGTAGGCCACTGTTCTGACCCAGCTCCCCAAACTCTCTGTAGTTGAAGCAATGATTCCTTTATTAGGAGGGCCAGCAGCCCCGGCAAAAAGTTTCTCAATTAGCAACCTAAATGCAGGGCTCAATTGTGTCGTAAGCCGAGGATTACCTGTATGTGCAAATTGGCAAATTAAGAGTGTGCATTGAGGTGTTTGGACTGGGGCGATAATAGGAATCTCTTCTTAAGAGATTCTGTTTTTTAATCTCTACTTGGCCCATTTCAGCCTTCTGTAGACAGTGGAATCTTCTGGAAAGTCAACATTGACCGTTTCCACCAGCACTTCCGGGATCAAGCAATCGTCAGCGCTGTGGCCAACAGGATGGACCAGGTGAGTAGCATCTTCCTCAAATTATTCATTACTGATTAAATAAATGTACAAGGCTATGCAACCCACACATGACTCCCTCCCTCCTGATCATAGGTGCTAAGGACTGGCTTCTTTTCTTTGACATTGTCTGTCTAATGGCTGGATTTTCTTGCAAAGGAAAGCTCAAGCTATCTTCCTGGCGAGAGGAAACAGAGGAGAGTTGGTCACACCTGCCTTTCCCTGCACTGTGATGTAGAATAATAGGCCAGATAAAACCCAATCCAATCCAAACTCAAACCAGAGGGGTAGAATCAAAATCGTGTGAAGTATTAGTGCCGCTTTATAAATTCTTAGTTAAGGCCACACCTGGAATCTTGCATTCAGTTTTGGTCCCCACATTACAAAAAAGATGTTAGGAGTGGTGCAATGGTGCCCTAGATGGAGCTCTCACTCATGATCAGGAGGCTGTGAGTTTGATGCTAGGTAAAGGCAGATATTTCTCTGGGCACGATGAGAATATATCTGCCGAACAAAACTCCGCATTGCCAACAGGAAGGGCATCTGGCCATTAAACATTCTGCTAGCTCCATCCAGTTGCCCAGACTCCAGCCCACGAGGGATTTGGGTGTCGTTAGATGATGATGATTACAAAAAACATGGTGAGACTTTGGAAAAAGTACAGAGAAGAGTAACTCAGATAATTAAAGTCCTGGAGACATACAGTACGATGAACTGTTGCAGGATTTGGGTTTGGCCAGTCTAGAAAAAAGAAGGACAAGGGGGGACATGATAGCAGTCTTCCAGTATTTGAAGGGCTGCCACCAAGAAGAGGGGAGGAGGGTCAACTTATTCTCCAAATCACCAGAAGGCAGGACAAGAAGCAACAGATGGAAATTAATCAAGGAGAGAAACAGCCTAGAACTAGGAAACTTCCTGAGAGTGAGAACAATGGAATTGGAACCACCAGAAGTTGTGGGCGCTCCATCCCTGGGGGCTTTTAAGAAGAGACTGGACAGCCACCTGTCTGAAATGGTATAAGGGCCCTTGATTGAGCAGTGGGGTTGGACTAGAAGGCCTCACAAGGTCCCTTCCAGCTCTATTCTGATCGATTGACAAGGGAATGGCCTCTGTTACACCTCCTAACTTTTCTTCTGCCTCCACAGACCAGTAGCGAAATTGTCCGGACTATGTTGCGAATGAGTGAAGTCACAACCTCTTCTAATGCCCCCTACACCCAGCCGCTCTCTTCCAATGAGGTGAGCCACCCTTTCAACGTCAAGTCGTGGGGTTTCATTTTATGGCCAGAGGAGGTAGAGCTCAGCCAAAATGCCAAGAGATAAAACGCTATGCCGTTAGTCCTCAGTGACCAGATCGATGTGGCTCTTGGAGGCACGGGCTCCCAGCCCAAAAAGGAGTACAGGTAGTCTGTGAATTACAACAGTTCATTTAGTGACCATTCGAAATGACAACGGCACTGAAAAAAATTGACATCACTGTTTTTCACACTTACGAACCAGTGGTGGGATTCAGCCAATTTGCATACGTTCGGGAGAACCGGTGGTTAACTTTCTGAGCAGTTTGGCGAAGTGGTTGTTGGAAGAAATCATGAGGGCAGAGAACCGGTTGTTCAATTATTTGAACCCATTGTGGCATTCCCGCGGTCACATGATTTCCATAGACAAATGAGGTGATCCCAAAGGTGCTTTTTCAAGAGGCAATGGACTTCCTTGTTTTCCTACAAAGAGCTTTCGCTTCTCATCCAAAGAACCTCATCTTCAGCTCCATATTTTCTTTTTCCTTTTCTTTAAGATATTCCGATTACTTCCGACTGGCTACAACATCTCCAAGCAGATTCTTGATCAGTACCTAACTTTACTAGCAGATGACCCGGTAAGAAAATCATTTTTTTCTAAAGCCTTACCAGCGCTTCAGGAAGGTTGCATCCTTTGGATTTCCCTTCATTCAAACCTGAGACTTTTTATCTCTATGATAAAAATCAATCATTCGGGACAACTGGAGACACATGAACAATATACAGTATAAGAGCTTTATTATGAAGCTTTTGCAAAAGGGAATTCTGCCCTTGGGCAGAAGACATGGTTCCCAGGAAGGCTGGGGTTTATATAGTTTCAAATATATACAGTCTCTGCCCCTTTCCGGGTTCACAATCTATCCAGCTACGTATCTCCCTACGCAACACCCTATTATTATTGTAGCGTTACATCTGTTTCCTCGTCCTGTTTACCCGTTTCCATTTCCAGTAATCTCCATCATTAACATGACACTGGTCAGCGTAACCTGCCAAATATATAACCTTTATACAAAACAGTAGAAAATTCTTACATAATATTCTAGTAAATTATCTTAGGTTTACACAGAGGTTAAAAGTGGCGTTACCATTGCTTTATATTTTCACAAGTATAATTCTACATATCACAATCTCCAAGCCTTTTATTCTCTCCACAGCTTGAATTCGTTGGGAAATCCGGTGACAGTGGTGGAGGGATGTATGTGATCAGTATCCTTTGGAGGGGGGGAGATCTTTCGGTGTCACGAGGACCACTCTCAGAATCGGAAGGGAGCCACGTGAGTAACTAATACAAGAAGGCAGGGTCAACCATCCCACTCAGTTATCTAGCAAAGAAAGACTTCTGGCTGTTTGTTTTTGCCAAGAGTATTCAGGTAGTCCTCCACTTACAACAGACGCGGTGGCTCAGTGGCTAAGACGCTGAGCTTGTCGGTCAGAAAGGTTGGCGGTTCAAATCCCTAGCGCCGCGTCACGGAGTGAGCTCCCATTAACTTGTCCCAGCTTCTGCCAACCTAGCAGTTCGTTCGAAAGTATGTAAAACATGCAAGTAGAAAAATAGGAACCACTTTGATGGGAAGGTAACGGCGTTACGTGCGCCTTTGGGCGTTTAGTCCTTCCAACCACATGACCATGAAGACATCTTTGGACAGCACTGGCTCTTCGGCTTTGTAATGGAGATGAGCACCACGCCTTAGAGCCAGAAACGACTAGCACGTAGGTGCGAGGGGAACGGTTACCTTTATACAGGTAGTCTTCGACTTACAACAGTTCCCTTAATGACCATTCTAAGTTACAACGGCACTGAAAAAAAGTGACTTATGTCCATTTTCTCACAAGCGTTGCAGCATCCCCATGGTTAACGCGATGCTTGACAGCTGACTCACATCTCTGACGGTCGCAGTGTCTCCCGGGGTCACCTGATCTCCTTTTGCGACCTTTTGATGAGCAAGTCAGTGGGGAAAGCCAGAGTCACTTACCTGTGACTAATTTTAACAACTGCAGCGATTTGCATAACAAAGGTGGCGAGAAAAGCCGTAAATGGGGGCAAAACCCGCTTTAGCAAATTTCTCCCTTTTGGCAACATGCATCCTGGGCTCAGTTGCGGTCATAAGTCGAGGACTACCTGTATTGGAAAGAGCCAGCTGCGGTGGGCTGCTTGGGGGAGAGAACAGGGAGTGTGTTGGGAAAAACTAGCAGACCCTGATCCCTTTTTGGCTCTGGATCTTCTCTGCTGCTCTCTCCAGCTCTTTGCACGCGCGCGCACACACACACACACACACACACACACACACCCTCAAGAATAGCCCTCAAGGAAGGTGGTCTTCCATGGGGAATAAAGGCTCTTTGGCCCTTCTTGAGTTTCTCCTGGCTCTTCTCAACTTCAGCCAATCCAGGGGACGAGGGTCATTCTTGTGGCATCTTTTCCCTAACATTCTTCCAAACAGATCTTCATAAGGGCCTGGCCTCTCTAGCCACTGCAACGCTGGAATCCATTGTGCAGGAAAGGTAAAACGAGGTCTCTCTCTTACTGATCTTTCCACACCGGAAAGTTCTTTCGTAAGCTTTTTTAAAAAAATAGACTCACTTTTCAATTTCCTCGGAAGAGGCTCCCCCCTCTACCCTTATTCTCCCGGACGCCTGTCTCGTGTGTCCTTTCTCCATTTCCAAAGATTCTCATTCAGTAGATTTCAGATCATCCAAGCAGTGGAGATTCTGCAAATTCTCCTAATCAATTTTGAACGTTGGGTGGGTCCCACCAGGTGGATCTTTTTAGGAGATGGGAGGGACCCACAGCATTCCTTGCCTCCCCACTCTAGTGGGTTGGATGGTTGTGACCAGGAAGAGGTGGTTTGAAAGGAAAGGTGCAAGTGTATGGGGGGGGGGCAGAGAGACAGAAAGAGAGAGAAAAAGAGACGGAGAGAGAGAGAGAGACAGGGAGGGAGAGAGACAGAGAGACAGAATGAGAGACAGAATGAGAGACAGAAACACAGCGAGGAGAGAAAGAGACAGAAAGAGTGACAGACGGAGGGAGGGAGAGAGAGACAGAGAAAGGGAGAGACAGACAAACAGACCGAGAGCGAGAGAGAAAGACAGAGATGGAGTGAGACAGAAAGAGAGAAAAAGAGACAGACAGAGAGAGAGAGACAGACAGGGAGAGAGACAGAATGAGAGACAGAATGAGAGACAGAAACACAGCGAGGAGAGAAAAAGACAGACAAAGAGACAGACGGAGGGAGGGAGAGAAAAGACAGATGGAGAGAGAGACAGAGAAAGAGAAAGGCAAACAGAGACAGAAAGAGAGACAGAGACAGGGAGAGAGAGACAGAAAGAGAAAGACAGTCAGACAGACAGAGAGATAGAGAAAGGGAGGGAGCGAGAGAGAGAGAGAAAAAGATGGAGAGAGATAGAGAAAGAGAAAGACAGACAGAGACAGCCAGAGAAAGAGAGAGACAGAGACAAACAGACAGCCAGAGAAAGAGAGACAGTCAGAGAGGGGGAGAGAGAGAAGTATAGCTGTTCTCTTTTCAGTATAGGAAAAAATGGGTTCATTAACTTTTCGCTGCCCTGCTCAGAACAGGCTCTTCTTCACTTCCCTCCTGAATGCAGATTTGGGTCCCGCTGTGCCCGCATCTTCCGCCTTTTATTAAGGAAGAGGCACCTGGAACAGAAGCAGATCGAGGACTTCGCCATGATCCCAGCCAAAGAAGCCAAAGAAATGATGTACAAAATGTTGTCGGCCAATATCGTAGCTCTGCAGGTACCAGCTGTCCCCCATATCACCCGGCACGAAGGCCGAGCCGTGCGGGGCTTTGTCTGGGAATTGAGGTGACCTGGCGAGGCCTTGATGGGAGGGAGATTCCTTGCAAGCCGCCTCAGGCTGCAGGTTGGCCAGGGGATTCTCGAGTGAAGGTCCGTGCCCCTTGTCATGGAAGAGAGAGCATGGATTCTGCCATGGATTCCCACGGAGATATTCTATGTGGGAGCCAAATTGATGCTTGCTTTTATTGGGGCAACTTTTAGGAGGCAATACAACGATAACACTTAGACTTATATCCTGATTTACAGTGCTTTACAGCCCACTATAAACGGTTTACAGAGTCAGCATATTGCCCACAAACAGTCTGGGTCCTCGTTTTACCCACCTCGGAAGGATGGAAGGCTGAGTCAGTCTTGAACTGGTCAGCATCAAACTGCTGACAGTCGGCAGAGTTAGTCTGCAATATTGCATTTTAACCACTGCGCCACCACGGCTGGAAATGTAAATGTGAGAAACGGTTATAAGTCCCTTTTTTTCAGTGTCACTAAAAGAACAGTCGAGGAGTAGCTGTAATCAAGGTCAAGTTGCAGGGGAAATACAATGTATGCATTTTTAAATATATATATAAAAGCGAAATACCCCTCACGCATCATCACAAAATCTCCAGAACCGTAAAGCCTACAAACTTGAAATCTGGCCCCTATGTTCCTCTTGGCTCTTAGTTGCTCACTAAGAAAGGATTTTTTGAAATGACCATCAGAGCATTTAGAGTATTTCCTATATTATTATTATTAACACGCTCTGATGCTAAGGAGTTCTACTCCCCCTCCCCACCTGAAAAGAAATCTCTTCCAAATGCAAAACACAAGCAGAGGAGAGGAGTTTCAGTTTCGGTTTCACAACACCAAGCAGCTTTAATACAGAACAGTTGAGCTAAGCCATGCCCAGGCTCCTTGCTCTCCTTGCTCACATAGCAAATACTGTTTCAGTTTCCAAACAGCCCTCAACTCTCTCACACACTGACAGCCAGATGAATACTAATGGATGCTGGTAGGCAGAGGCAGATTTTTTCCCCTTATTTTCCTCCCCAACAACTAAGCCCGACCACATAGTTTCGTAGCGAAGCACGGGGATCGAGCTAGTGTATATATAAGAGCCCTGTTCTCATATGACTAGCACGAAGTGGCTCCCACCATTCGCTTGTTAAGTGAATCTGGCTTCCCTGCTGACTTTGCTTGTGAGAAGGTCGCAGATCCTGTAATTCCTGGACACGACAACGGTCATAAATATGAGCCAGTTGCCAAGCGCTGAATTTTCATCACATGACATTGGGGATGCTGCAAAGGTCATAACTCTCAGAAACGGCTGTAACTCTTTTTTTTTCCCCGTGCCGTTGTAACTTTGAACGGTCACTAGATGAACTGTTGTAAGTCGAGGACTGCCTGCAGTGATGTATCAATACTAGCCAATTTAATCTCTTCTCTGGCTTTGCTTTCCTCCCCAAAACAGGAAATCCCCAAAACTCCAGACCACGCACCTTCCCGGACTTTCTACTTGTACACAGTCAATACTCTCTCGTCTGCCCGGCTGCTCCTCCAGCGCTGTTACAAGGTTTGCATCCCACTTTCCTGTTTTTAAAACTTCTCTTAAGCCAGACTGCATTCATGGCAACCTCTTGTTTTCGCTCCCTTTCAGTGTGTGGCCAACCTGATAGAACGGCGACTCCACGAGACCAAGGAGAACCGGTGAGTCGGGAGTCCTGAGGATACAATTCGGCCCTTTGAACCCAAACTCTATGTGATACTGGTTGAAAACTTAAAAACTTCTCCAACTCCAAGACAGTTGGGGAGAGCTGGCACACTTTGTAACTCTGTGTCCGGATGTTTTTTTTTAAGTAATCTTTTTTATCTATCTATCTATCTATCTATCTATCTATCTATCTATCTATCTATCTATCTATCTATCTATCTA